TCTCTCGCCATGCACAAAAGTTAACTCAAATGGATCAAGGAGCTTGATATTAAATCAGAGACACGGCATCTGATAGAAGAAAAAGTTGGTTATGATCTACATACTGTGGAATCGGGCTCAGTTTTGTTATTCATGCCTCATTAAAGCTGGAAAATTAGAGGTGGGGGGAGAAGCTGATCAATCTGTGGGCAGAAAAATGCCATGATATTTTTCTTAGATAAATTGTTAAAATGGAGAAAATAATATAATATTAGCTTTGTTAAAAATTAAAACCAAAACCTAACCACAAACCACACAAAAACTTATGGGTTATAGTTTAGGTAAGAGGTATCTCCCCAAAACTCATGTGTGAGACAATGCAAGAAAATTTAGAGGTGCAATGATTATATAAGAACCTTAACCTAAGCAGTAGTTAATCCTGTGGTAACTGTAGGTAGGTAGGGTATAGCTACAAGAGGTAGGTCTTGGGGGGCATGCCTTTGGGATTTATATTTTGTTCCTGGTGAGTGGAACTCTCTCTGCTTCTTGGTAGCTATGTCCTGGACTGCTTTCTTTTGCTRCCATGATATTGTGTCTTATCTTGGGCCCAAAGCAGTGAAGCTGGCCATCTGTGGACTAAGATCTCTAAAACCAGGAGCCCTAAGTAAACTTTCCCCTCTGTAAACTTGTTTGTCAGATGTTTCGGTCACAGTGACAAAAAGCTGATTAAAACACTAGTATGTGTATAYGTTTGTAAAGAACTTTCAAAAGTAATAATTGGTAACTACAGGACTAGAACAATTGGATTGAAAATTTACTTTTTATTTCTCTGTTGTTTCAAGGTGTGATCCAAACTAGTGGTAATAGGAATTCACAGAAAAAGGCAGTTGTGAAATATAACACAGAAATGGGGTGGATGGTACTTGGCAGCTATTTGGATGTGAGTGGGAGGCAAATGAAGGAGTTCAAAGATGGCTCAGCAATTTCTAGCCAGAGTGATTAGGGAATGGTGATGTCATTTATAGAAACAAGGAGACTATGAGGAGCAAAGTGAATTCTTTATTGTTACCAGAGGAGAGATGATGACTCCAGGTTATCAATCAAAGCTGTGCTGCTTCTCATTTTAAATAATAACTGTTACAAAAGGAAATCTTCTTAGCTTGGTCCTGAAACTTCRGAAAAAATATAATGCCTCACTTGAAAGGTGAATTTACTTTATGTGAATTATATCTCAATAAAAATTTGAAAAATACTGCTTTATAGTTGCATTTCATATGAATTATGGAACTAAAGGGGCCAAACTATTATCTATGCAWATTTTAAAACACAATAACATTTGTTTTTAAACAGAAAAAATCATAAAATTTAAAATAATATCAAACATGGGAAGAAAAATAACTTTCCTACTTATACAAAATGGAAGAGATATAAGATTTGACCTCTAAAATTTTTACTGAATGTTTTTTGTGTTGTTTTCTTATAGTTATTCCTCTTGCAAATGTTTTTGTAACTCAATGCCTAGTGACTTATTAAAATGAGTGTGTTGTTGCTAAAAATATTCTATAGAGGTAGCCTTGCAAAGGTTTTTTTAAAAAAAAAAAAAAAAAACAAACTTGGTGCACTTTAATTCCATAGAARGGAGCATTAGATATTCAGCCCCATTGAGAATTTGTTTCTTGCAAATACTGTCAAAACGCTAGGAGAATTTATTTCCATACAATTATATCATATTTTATGTTGGGGCTGAAATAGAAGTGTGTAATCCATCAGTCCGAGATSTTTTGCATAGGTAAATGAGTCAACAAAGTCTCCTGAATAAATCATTTTAATTTTAATTTTCAGTTATATGGAAATCAGCTTCTGTACATCTTTATTCTCCATTTATCATTTAATGTATTTTTACTTTTAGAGACTATTCCTATGTTAATCTTTTTAGATAAATTATGTAGTCTTCCATACGAAATGTTTTTCATATTGTATATGTTCTAGTGAGTTAAAATGGGACATTTGTATAATGGCCATGTTTTAATTTTAAGTCTAAAGAATTTTATGAATTTCAAAACCTTCAGAGAACTGAGTGATTATGTTACCGTGTGAAATCACAAGGTGATTTTTTTATTGTCTAATTCTTACAATTTGGTTTAAGCTACATATAGTCTCCCATTAAGAAAAAAGAACAAAGATAATAAACTTATATTTTGTATATTTCTTGTTTTCCAGAAAATAAACACTGTTGGAACCAGTAATGCAGATGTCCCTTTGGCTGATCCCGGAATGTACCAGTTGGACATTACATTAAGAAGGGGTCAAAGTTTAGCTGCCCGAGATCGAGGAGGTATGAACATAAGAACAATATCACCTAGATGCTTTTTTTTGTGTATTTGTGAGAAAGATTGCTTCCTTTATGATTGCTTAAGTTTGAGTAAAAACTGTAATATTGTAATTTTGAGAAGTTTGGATTTAATGATGCAATTTGATATATTACCTCACTCCTCTGACCATGGAGAAAGAGGTTTTGATGTAGGTTCCAAACCATGACCTACTTGACCCAGACAGCAAGGTCCTTCCCACACTGCTGACAAGTTAGACTCTATTTGATATGATCAGTGGAACAGGTGGTTACATAGATGAGGTGTCTATTTGAAGCTATACCAGAAGTTACTTTTTAGTAGACCCAGTTAAATCTACTGAAATTGCAAAATCCAGGACTAGTATCTCACCAAAACTTTAGAGCTTTCCATCAAATAACTATTTGAGACTTAGTTGGACCTTGCAATAGGATTAAAYAGGACTTGGTGGATTGAACAGGTTTTTTTGTAGGCCATGATGAGGCAGAGGACAATATAAATACTCCTTAGATTGTAAGTGCAGTGTCCTGATGAACTAGGCTGGAGCACCTGAGGGATTCCTAAACCCAGGGTAGAGGCAGGATCAGGGATAAATTCCCAAATAGACTATGTAGCATCCTTCATAAATTTTAATTACTAGCCATGCAGGAGATAGATACCTGGAGATCCCGGAAAGCTTCCAGTCTCACAAGAAGCAGAGTTTTGGTGAAAATTTTCCTGCTGGGAGGGAGGAAAGTCCCTAAACCTATGCYATTTTGTCATTATACCACTGGAGCGACCCATAACATTCTATGATACAGTTTTTCTCCTTCTATCCTAACAGATTTCCATACTTAGGGAATAGAAGGAGCCAGATTAAGACTATAGTCTAGCTGGACATGGTGCATGTCTGTAATCCCAGCAGCTCAGGAGGCTGAGACAGAAGGATCGCAAGTTCAAAGATAGCCTTAGCAACTTAGTGTGACTCCAAGCAACTTAGTGAGACCCTGTCTTAAAATATAAGAAGGACTGGGGATGTGACTCAGTGCTTGTTTGAGTGCCCCTGGGTTCAATCCCAGGTACCAAAAACAAAACAAAACCCAAAACAAAATAGGCTATAATCTAAATTTATGTCTTCTATCTCCAAAGGGATAAAATATTTTTATATAATAGTGGTTTTTATGATTAAAAACTATAATAGTTTTAATTTTAAGTAAATATTAGTAAGTAGAACATTTTTTCAAATATTGCTTTTGTCATACTAATAATAGAAAACTACACTATAACAAAATACAAGCAATATTGAACAAGTACAAATAATTTTATCTTTTTAGTAATTAGAACATTWTTAATGAATGATGATTGAAAATGTTAGAACAGATGGGAAAGATTTCAAAATTAAACATCTGGTCTAGCAGGTGAGGAGAAATGTTTATTGGATTGAACTACTTCAAGTAAGTTATAATTAGATTACCAAAAGAAAACAATGTTATTAGCACAGTATTAACATTATTTCATATAACATTTTTTTTTAGTTTTCAAGCTGCTCTCAATATATTATTTTTAAAACAGAATTAAACCACTGAACTGGAGATAAAAATTTTATTCCTATATAAACCCTCAGTAATTTAAAATATATTCATTTACAATGGATTAATTGTTTATAATTAAAAAAATTTAAAAACAACCTAATAGCCATTAATGGGGGCAAGGTTTAATAAACTATAGTACATCCACATGAGCATGCAGCTGTAAAAGAGAAGGAAAAATCTTTAGGAATTAATAAGGAAAATTGTAGAAGATATATTAAGTTTACTTAGGAAATGTTCAAAAGAATATCAAAATATGCATCATTTCATGTAAGAAAAAATCATATAAGAAATTTTGCATTTTTTTCTAATTTGTACAAAAAGAAGAACAGGAAGAAAATCAGAAATGAATAAAATTGATAACATGCAGAATGTAACTAAGATCAGGTGACAAGAATAGGGGATGGGAATAAGGTAAAAGGGGGAGGAAGGAGTAATATTTCCCTGAGTAAACCATAGTTCTTGTACGTTTCTAACTATGGCAATATTTAGCACCTTAAAATAATGACTAGATTGGTTAGTTAAAGTCAATAGGGCATGGGAGGAACTCAGAAAGAAATATAACCACACCTCAGGGAGTTGTTGAATAAATAACTAATCTAAGAAACTATGTAAAAAAGTAGTGTTATATTCTATAAAAGTTAAAAATAAATAAACAGAAATATTGCRTACTGGAGCGTTATTATCAATTCTTAGATGAATGTGTATGCTAGGAGCTAGCAAATAAGTAAATGTATTGTAGCGAATGAGAGCCAGGGAGTGAGAAACCTTGGAGAAAGAAATTACAAATACAGGAAAGGAGAAGGCTAATAAAGAGGACTGAAATGGAAMTTGAAAGTGTTATATTAAGTGAAATAAGCAAAACCCAGAAAATCAAGGCTTGTATGTTTCCTTTCATATGTGGAAGCTCAAGAGAAAAAATGGGGGTCGGGGTGTTGGGAGGTGGTGAGGAGCTCATGAAAATAGAAAGGAGACCAGTAGAGTAGAGGAATGGAACCTGGAGGAGGGAGGATGGAAAGGAAAGGGAGGTATTGGGGAAGATGTTGAGCAAATTATGTATATTGTGTGCACATATGAATATGTAATAATGAATCCTACTATTATGTATTATTATAATGCACCAATATATGGGCAAAAAAGGAAATGGGTAAGTCTAGAATGATCCTTGTGGTATTAGGTAATGATGTGAACTAATAGGTTTTAATATGTGTTCAAATAGATATAAATACAAATGGATAGAGGTATGTGTGTATGTGTGTGTGTGTGTGTTTCCTACATCTATTTGCTGAAAGGGCCCAGAAGCTATAACAAAGGAACAAAGGTTTAATGATAAAATAGTAACACACCTAGGGCCTACGTATTTGTTTCGAAGTAGAATTTCCCTAATACAGTAATCARGGCTCCTGGAGGAATGGTTGACTTCAGACCTGATGCAGGAAAAGTACAAGATGAGCCTGGAACATCTTGCATTGCCAGGAACTAAGGCAATGCTCTGAAGTTGATGGCAGAATGTCAAAATTGCATAGGGCCAACTTAAAGAAACTCCTAATGTCCAAAACTGGGACAATTTCAGCAACAAAATAAATAATGGTACTAATGTAGTATAACATGTGGAATATAATAAATATCTCTGATTTCATACTGATAAATAAATGATTGAATAAAAGAATAAGTGAGAGAGAAGGTACAGCTTTTCCTTACAGTAGAATTTCAATGTATGAGTGAAGAAGGGAAGATGAAAATAGAAATCACCTTTTAACAAACACTAATCACAATCGTTGTAGCCAAAAATCTTCAATGAATGCTAAAGTTACCTGTGCAAAATTATGATGTGAAACAGAGTATTTGCAGCATTTTGAAGTATTTTTCTGCAAGATATGAATGACTTACAAAAGCAAAAATACTAACTCTGGAGAAGTGTGGAAGACACCTCCTTAACCAAGTGATCAAAGGTGATTCAGAAGTAACGAGACATGCAGACATCACATAGCTCCTGATAAGGTACACCAAGCACCACCCATCATTTCTGTAGCATTCTTGTCAAAATGCAAAAGCTCAACAAAATAATAAGAGAACATCAGGCAAACTCCCATCATAAGACACAATTTATCTGAACCGAATCATCTCTATCTTTTGAAAGGTGTGTGCACAACCTCATTTCAACATTCCCTGTTTCTCCACAATTTGGGATCTCAAATTATTCTCTATAGATATTACTGACAAAAATATGAAACAGGTTTCAGGAAACTTGGCGGGGCATGTATTTAAGAAAAAAAATGGGAGAGGGGAAAAAAGAACAAAAAGAGAGAAAATATTACTTGGCAAGAATGAAGAATACAACAAAATGTTAAAAGGTGAACTCTAATTCAGTTTCACCAGTTTACCTTACTTTTGCATTTGTGAAATTTTAATTGGATAAGGGCAATAAGAGATAATTACAGGGAGGAAGCAACCTGAGTTACTTTTGGGGTTGAGTAAACATCTTTGACCCATCTCTGAATAAGTGTGTTAAACATTTGATTGGATAGATGGTATTGGGTCATTGTAGATTTATGAATTTATATGCATATAGCTGGTAGGATAATTAGATGGAAATGGATATTTAAARTTAGAAGAAAGCATTGCAGTCATGTGGGATTATAGTTTTGATCTTGAATTGGGATTATGAGTATGGAAGTGGAGAAGGAAAGGAACATATGAGAGAAGGTTCAAGGGAAGGTTCAGCAGGACCTGGGTTCATTTTCAAGGCAGGGGCTAAACAAACAAACCACCAACAACAAAACCTTTGGAAGTTTTAAAACTGATGGTGTCYGGGAGGTCCGTGCAGGTTGAAAAACAATGAATAAGACCCTTGCAAAGCCTTAGAATTAGCACATACTACACTCTTCATTTATCCCACTGATGTTGATATTCCTTTTTCACAGGAAAGGTGCCCTTCCCAATTGCTTTTCTATGGCCTGACAGTATTTTTTCCTGGAGTCTGAGAGTCTGTTTATGGTCATCCAGCAGGATTCCGTAAGGCCATTCTTTGGTCTGTGGACCACAAAAGCATTGCTGTAAAATTACTATTATGATCTTAGTAGTGTATCATAGTTATTAATAATACTGGAGTTCACTTTGACATAATCACATGTGCGTGGAATGTAATTTTCTCCCTTTCAGTCCCCAGTACTTTCTCTTTCTCTCCCCCTTCCATCCCACTGTTCCCTTGCCTCTACTCTGCTGGTCTCCCTTCTGTTCTCTGTCAATGTTCTTATCTTCTACCMAGCAAGACAAAAATGTCTGCATCCCCTATGCCTCATATCACATTTGCACAGGAGAATGGGAGGAAAAAACTCATTTCCACCTCTACCACTATCACTGGAATGCTGGACTTTGTTCCTCCAGAATCCTCCTTCATACRTAGTAGTCACAGAGGC